TTGTAGTCTTTAAAGCAATTTATATAAAGTAAATTGTTTGATACAACCCATCAAAACAGTGGCTATAGTACCCATTAATCAATGGTGGTTGGAATCCTAGAGACTCAATGTTTTTGTCGCTCATCCTTCGGATTCTCCAGGCAGATCCGCAGCGGGCGGACCATTCCGGTCTACATCCTGGCTGAAGGGAAGGTGGTCGAAGTCCCCCTCAAGCGCTTGAAGCGCAGCATTGGTGGCAAATGCAGCTCGTCTTGCGACGAAAACTGTCGCAATTTGCACGCTAATGACATCGTTTACCTCGGCCGGGGCTGGTGCAGGGCCGAATTTGAATGGGCCAAGCCCTACACCGTCGACATTTCGCGGCGGGGCGTGTGCCTGCGCCGCTGCTCGGCCGAGTATGACGCGCTTTTTCACCGGCTCTCGCTGCCCTGGACGCCTGAGGCGTTCCAGAGAAGTGTAGCCACCCGCGCCCTGAAATTCACTCACCGCGGTGACATCGACCCGGTGCTCGAATTGCAACGCACGGTGTTCCAGCAGAAAGTGGCGACTCTGGAGAATTTCAGATGCGCTTGGCTTCCGTGCCACGAAGTCCACGACTTGGTGGAGCTTGTGCCGCTCCTGCAGGCGGTGCAATTCTTCCAGCTAGTCGCCGCCCATGTCGCCGACTCCCAGCAGATGGCTCTGGCGACCGCCTTGGGGACTCGCCAAACACTGCAGACGGTGGCGATCAACTGCATCCAGCTGAGCCCCGGCGCGGCGCAAGTCCTGGCGGCGGTGCCACGGCTCCACACGCTGGGGCTGATCGACTGCGGCCTGGGCGACGCCGGCGCCGGCGCCGTGGCGAACGCCCTGGCGCAGCACCCGACGCTCCGAGAGGTGCAGCTGCAAATCAACGCCATCGGCAGTCGCGGCGCGACGGCCTTGGCGAAGGCCTTGGTGACCAACAACGTCTTGGAGAAGCTCAACTTGCAGTACAACAAGATCCGCTCGCGCGGCGCAGTGGCTTTGGCCGAGGCTTTGCGAAGCAACGACACCCTGAGATGCTTGATGTTTCGATTCAACCCGATCGGCGCCCAGGGCGTCCGAGCTCTGAGACGTATTGCAGAGAGGATCGCGGTGGCCCACGAAGGGTTGGAGAGAAATGCAGACGCTTCCTGGTGCGGATGGATGTGCTGCATCCTGATTCGGGTCTTCTGGTGGATCTGCTTCATCATGATTGTCCTTCCAATGAGATGCTTCAGTTGGCGGCAGAGGGCCATCGCCTGCATCAGCGCCCGGGGGAAACCTGCCCAACCTGAGAAGATGAAAAAGCCAGTGGACGTGGAAGAACCTGATGCCATTAGCTGCAGAGTGGAGCCCAAATCACCAAATGAAGCTGAGGAGATTAGAGAATGCAGGCTTGCGCTTTGACAGATGGTTTGAGGAGATGATGCTTTTTCCCAAATGAATGAATTCAGATTCACCCATAGTTTCATCTAATTAATCGACAACCTGGCCGCATCCTGGCACCCTTTGTGCGAAAAGATACATTCAAGATGCAGCCGCAGCACCGTTTTGTGGGCCACGCCCAGCAAAAACCTGCGGGTGGGATATGTGGTGGCCCAGAAAGATCAGTTCGGCCGTTGACCTCAACTTTTGAAGGACTTGAAGTAGGACTCAGTCAGATTTGGGCCTATAAGGATCCGGATCCATCCGACTCGTTTTGTTCAGATTACCCGGAGTTGGAGTCCTTGGAATAAATTTGTTCATGATTTTGTTTCATTTTTGTTTCATCTTGGATGGGAGGTTGACCTGCATCAACCTGCATGATGGAAGCCCGCCGCTCCCATTGAACGGCCTCAACTCCAATTTGAAGAGAACACTATAGGGACACCTGGTGTGATCCAAGTCGTTCTGAAGATTCATCATGTCAAGTTCTCGACCAAAGTCCCCCTCCTTCCGCAACGCCAGTTCTTGATGTCGGACATGTTCCCATGCGTTTCGGTGTGGCCTGCCAATGGCTCCCGAGCCGGCATGGACGGAGACTTGGCAGTCGTAGACCCTCTTATGAAACTTTTGGGTATGGTGAAGAAGCACCATAATCAGCCGGAAGAACGACCAGTTGAGAAGCACGGGGCCTTCCTTCGAAGACCCACCTCAAAATCGGCGTTCCGAGTGTCGCACGGGAGCCCAAGCCCAGCCCTCGCCCACCTAGCTCCCCATCCCTCTGGGGTCCCACCGAAGCCATCGCCCAGTGCAGGTCCGTCCGGCGGCCTTGGACGGCCATCCGTGGCATCGGCAGTTTGGCGGGCGGCCTGGCTCCGCAGCGATCCCGGAGCTCTTTGGCTGCAGAACCGGAGCTCGGCTGCGGTGCGGTGGGCTGGTCGGGGCAGTTTTTGGAGGATTGGAGGAGCATGGAAGGTGTGTTTGGTTTTTGTTGAATTGGGTTGGTTTGGCGTGGTTTAGTTTGGTTTTGTTTGTGTTTGATTTTGCACTGGAACGACTAGAAGGAATAATATGCCTCTAAGATCCTCTAAGTATGCCTCTAGGATTGCCGATGGTGGCCCGGATTGCTTGGAGGGACTGCTTGAAGACACTCCGTGTGGTTTGGGGGTGCATATGAGTAATCATTCGTCATCAGCCCATCTGGTTGGAATCATGTTCGTTCGGAGACTCCGGCTGTTTTGGGAGCGATTTGTTTTGGGATTCTTGCGCAGGGTTGGTCAGGTCAGAGTTCTGTATGCCACGAAGAGCCTTCTGGAGACCAAGTATAGTCCCAAATAGTCCCAAATTGAGAACCAAGAGAGGTGGGTCAGAACCCTAGTTCGACTATCCCATGCATAGGTATCCCAGGTCCCAGGTGACGGGTAACCTCTCTTGGAAAGCCACCGAGATACCGGTCGTTGCGTCGTTGCATCCACTCAACCTCGTCGTTGCGTTATGCACACGTAGGACCATGTTCGGACCAGGAAGATATAGAATGAGAGTCGTCAGCAGTCCGCAGTCACCGTCGTCCGAGCAGACGTAGCGAGCCACTGACGCTCTGGCAAGCCACGCGGCGAGCTTCGAGCCGGTCGAAAGAGCAGGTTTGGGTCTCCCCAAAAGTCAAGGAGAGCTCAACAGGAAGTACGGTGGTTCTTGATCGTTCGGCCATCCGAACAATGAATGCTGGATGCCTGGATGCCATGCAAAACCTGACAGGAACAAAGAATAGACCAAGAGAGAATATACATTGCAAATGAGTAGGGCAACACCCTATATGCTAAGAGCATCTAATGAGAACTCCCTGTAACATGCAAAGCATCCCAAACTATCTTCTTTTTTTGAAAGGGACTCCATTCCGAAGCTGGGGGCTATACCTTCATGATTCATTTGGGGCCTCGCAGTTGTTATAAAAAATTGCATGTTATGAAAGCAAAATGTACACGAGTGTAATCAATGAAGCGACTTGGACAATCAGTTCTGGAAGGTCCTTTCTCGGAGACGACCTGGTTTCTACAGTGAATTTAGAATCACAAGCTTCGACCCTTTCTGGACAATCGGATAATTTCTGGATTCCAACAGAGGTTGAAAGACCTGAACGTTCGGACCCATGGTCTGTGGTACATATGGGATGGGCGATAGGCTTCAGGGCTGGTCAACCAACCTCCCTTGGATTCGGTCCTTTCTGGTGCGTTTTCGGACCACTAGCGTCGACTGTCTCAGATTGTGGCGTCTTCCAAGAGAGGTAGGTAGCCAGTGACCGGGACCATTTGGATGTTCCCCGCGGAAATTCTCATAGGGCCTTTGAGAATCTCATAGGGCCAGAGGCAGGGTGTTCCTTTGGAAATCCAAAGACCAGCGGGACACTCTGTGCAGAATGATGTTGTATACGCTGCTTGTTGGCCTGGACCATCCAATCGGTGCCCATGCTGTCTGGACACCTCTAAGTAGTAGGCCTAGGGTGGTCCATTGGACATTCATTGGATGGTCCTGGTATATACAGACCTTATGTGTTTTTTCTCTCGCTCTTTTCTTCAACCAAAGCTCAGGTGATCATCACCCCAACGAAAGCCTCAGGCGGGCCGAACGCCGCAAGCGGGTCACTCTCCGGTGTCTTTCTGATTTCGGTCAGTGCAGTAAACTATCCTCAAGTCTAGCCGCTTATCTATCGCCTCCCACCCCACCGGGGTGACTCTCCTGTTTCTGTTCTTCTTTTACCAAGAGAGGTTCAGACACCCGAAAAAGGACCCGGAAGTCACCTGGGGTATCCCGATCCGCCTGGGATAGTCGAAGGGCGTCGGGTCCTTCAACCCACCTACTGGTCATTTTGTGTATCGGATCTATTCCAACAGAGGTTGAAGGACCGGACCATAGGACCCGGAACACCTGGGGTATCCCATTCCGGGACTCTGGGATAGCCGAGTCGGGCGTCGGGTCCTTCTGACCCACCTCTCTGTTGGTTTGGTCTTCGTTTCCGGTGGATCGAAGCACCCCGACGCGGATATTGGGGTGGTTTTAGGGGTCAATGGTATGTAAATACTCCAGTTCGGAGTGTTTGGGTAGTACTGTTTGTTTCTATACGTAAACTTCCTTCCAATCCAGCTTCTCGGATTTCAAATCAGGTTCCCCGGCTGGCTCCAGCTGTACAACTCCGGGCTTCCTTTCAAGAGAACTTGAGTTGGAGGAGTTCGGCCCAGCTTTTCGGATTGTTCATCCCCAATCCCGTTTGGAGGCACTCCTCAGGCGACCGAGCCTCTGAAAGGCAGGAAGATGGGAAGAACGGGGGTGTCAGAGGATCTTGTTTCTTTTTTACTCCTTCGGGGTCGTCAGAGCTGCAAAATCAAACCATTCAAGAATGTTAACATGTGTTGATCGTTCGTGAAGATGGGGGAACGTTCGGAGGGCTTAGACCTGCAGAAGCTAGGGTGGCTCAAGTGCCACAGCAGAGTGGAAGATTCTTTTTTGGTTTTGATTGCCATCCTGTTCTTGGATCTTCTTTGTGCTGCTTTGGAGACGGATTCCTTTTTTTGCAGCCATGTATGGTTCCCTACGGCTTCTTCACTGCTTCAGGTGGTGGGTTAGAACGCAGAACCGCACTTGCTCCGTACTTGGAGATTTCTCTAGGAAAAAAGGAGTCTCGTCTCATCGTGTCTCGTCGAGATTCAGCGAACAACATGCACTCCAGGAGCCCCAGCAAGTCCAAAGAAGCAACCAGTGGTGCTGTGATGTGCCGTGTTTTCGGTTGCTCCGGGAAGACCCCGAAGACCCCTGTGAAGGACACGGGGTCCCGTCTTCCAGAAGACCTTCTGATTCGCCAACGACGACGGCTGAAGGACACGGCGTCGTGCACTGAAAATCCAGATGACACGCAACACGATACCTTGCCCGACATCAGTTCTTCTCAAAGAACAGGCCGCCAAGCCGAGCAACACATGAGCCCAACACGTTGAAAGTACGTGATTGTTGCCGACAGCAATCTGCTAGATTTGCTGCCCTTCCTGCCATGGAGTTACGTCCTTGCACGATTGGCAATGCATCAGAAGGGCCGGAAAGGCCGCCCAGGCCACAGCAGGAAGAGTCTATGGACTCGGAGTATGAGCTGAATTGCTTCGAGGACCCTTGTCTCGACAAGGGAGGGTTTGGGTGTTTTTGGGGTGGTTTGCGAGGAAAGGTCCATGTCAAAATGGCATGGTATACACATTGATACACATTGTATAACCCAGACATGACACATGGGACTGCCATATATGCGGCCCCATTGACCCCCGGGGCCCCCCAAACCACCCCGAGGTAGGCAGATATGGCATACATGGAGTGTCCGGGTAATATCATTGAATGACTCGTTCTAATCACTTCGATTTGAAACAACTTCAGACGTTGAAATTCCCAGACTACTGCGAGTCATCGCAGCGATGACGATGTCTCTCTCTCCATCTTCCTTCGGGTTCAAACGTCCGAGGCCTTCCGGCAGTACTGCGTCAACGCCAACATCGCGTTGGTGCGGCCAACGTTCCTGGAAGAGCTTTGCGCAGCTGGTGGGGTCTGGCCTCGGAGGCAGGAGGCGGAACAAATCCCAGGAGCGGCCACCAAGGTCACGATTTTTGCGTTCAATTTAGCTTAAGTTGAAAAAAGTACTATGCCAGCCTGCCCTATATTCTTCCGGCTTGGATCTAATGCATTTTCGACATGGATATGTCGTTGGTCCTCCGAAAGACCTCTTCCCATGCTTGGTGGCTAGATGACATATCTAGTATAGAGCATCTTGGTATATAGTATCATTTGATATCATTTGATATCATTTGGTTCCTTTTATCAAAGCTAGATTTGGATTAAAGTTTCTCCTTTGTAGAGGTCAATCCGCTGGCGGCGCCAGACTCGGTACCAGGAGCTTTGTACAAGCCTGGGCCCCATGACGAGTTCTCCTTCATCGGAATCTCCCACTGCTGGGAGTCTCGCGAGCATCCTGACCCTTTCGGGTACCAGCCGCTCGAACAATGTCGAGATTGTTTAGAATTCTTCCATTTGATGGTCAGTAGGTTGCCATGGACCGCCAGAAAGCTGCGAAAGGGAAGCATGTTTCCACCCGGAAAAGCTTCGAAATCCCTTCAAGTCGGACCAGTCCGAGGCTCAGTACGATCGTGGACGCATGGCACTACTGGAGAGAGGCCGAGCCCGAGAAGTACGAAGAAGGCAACATCTACTTCTTCATTGATTACATGAGCTTGCCACAGTTCAAAAGAAGTGCAGAAGAGCAGAAGTCCTTCCAAAGAGCAATGAAGCACATGCATCTCTTCTACGCCGCTTGGAGCGTCAACTTCACGTGTTTTTTGGACTTTTCTTGGATTCACCTCACTTTAGTCCTTCTTCAGTACTTGACCGAACTTGATCACCTGGTTCGGTCACCAACAGGCCTGTCCGTCCGGTCACTTATCGTCCTGGGGAAGACCTAGGGACCTCCGGCTGGGTCAGACGAGGTCCACGGCCGGTCCGGTGCCCTTTCGGGGCCTCGAGGCGAACAGTGGTGCCACGTTTTGCAAGAGCGTGTGGCGCTTGGGGAAGCTCACGCCTCCAAGCGTGAAGAGACGGCATCCCGGTGGCATCCCGGCTCCGAGCTGGGCCGGTAAGACGGGCAGGAGCTGTACCAAAGACGTCAGATGTTTGCTAGAAAAGAGACATGAAAAATCCCTTGTGGCAGTTCATTCTCATCTCCAAACTCTGAATCGACATCAATTCACAAACGTCCCCCCTAGCCTTGCAAGACCATTGAAAGAAGGTTGACCTTGTTTTGCAGTCTAAAAAACCCTAGTAAACTAAAAATAACATAGCTTAGTACCAGGACCTTCCAAGAGGTGTCTATAAATAGCCTCTTAAGAGGTTAAGGGGTGTCCAAAAACCACCTGTTGGAAGGTCCTGGTATAGATTGCCAAACACTCTTTTTCTCACTTGTCCTTCGGCTTCCCAAGGCAGATTTGTCAGGGGCGAACCATTCCGGTCTACATCGTGGCGGAAGGGAAGGTGGTCGAAGTCCCCCTCAAGCGCTTGAAACGCAGCGTTGACGGCAAGTGCGGCCCGTCTTGCGACGATCACTGTCGCAATTTGCACGCCAATGACATCGTGTATCTCGGCCGGGGCTGGTGTAGAGCGGAATACGAATGGGCCAAGCCCAACACGGTTGACATCTCGCGGCAAGGCGTGTGCCTGCGCCGCTGCTGTGCGCAGTATCACTCGTGGTTTTACCGGTTCTCGCTGCCCTGGACGCCTGAGGCGTTCCAAAGAAATGTCTCCACCAACACCTTGAAGTTCACACACCGCAGCGACATTAAGCCCGTGATTGAGCTGCAACGCAAAGTGTTCGATCAGAAAGTGGCCACCCTGGAGAAGTTCGAGTGCAATTGGCTTCCATGCCATGAAGTTGAGGACCTTTTGGAACTGCTGCCCCTCCTGGGCGCCGTGCAGGAATTCTGGCTCACCGAAGCTTACGTTCCACACTCGCAGCAGTTGCCGTTGGCGAATGCCTTGGCCAGACGCCCGGCTTTACAGAAGGTGCTCATCAACTCTGTCCGGTTGGAGCCCCCTGTGGTGCAAGTCCTCGCCGATGTGCCGCAGCTGCGCACCTTGCGGCTCTTCGCCTGCGGCCTGGGCGACGCCGGCGCCGGCGCGGTGGCGGCGGGTTTGACGCAGCACGCGGCGCTGCAGGAGGTGTGGCTGGAATGCAACGGCATTGGCGACCTCGGTGCGGAGGCCTTGGCCAAGGCCTTGGAAAGCAACCACGTCTTAGAGCTGCTGGACTTGCAGCTCAACCACATCCGATCCTCTGGTGCCATCGCTTTGGCGGAGGCCTTGCGGCTTCGCAACGAGGCCATGAGACGCTTGGTGATGCGATACAATCCGATGGATGCCCAGGGGGTCCAAGCTCTGAGGCGAGCTGTTGCAGAGAAAGAGAGCCTGGACGTGGATCATGAAGGGCTGGAGAGAAATGCAGAGAGTTCCGGAGATTTGAAGAAATATCTTGTCTTTTTTTCTGCGGTTCGAATGGAGGAATCCCCTTCTCATGTTTATAATTTATCATGTATCGTTACAATTTTTCCGGGTGGCTGGGAACCTGAAACCATGCCAGGTTCCTATTGTGGATGGATGTTTTGTGTGCTTTTGCGAGTCTTCGTTTGGATCGTCGTCACCATCGCTCTGTGTCCCATGAAGTGCTTCGTATGGCGGCAGAGAGTGAGTGGCTGCATCGGCACGCGGCTGTGCAGCCACCGTGCTGAGGCCAGACATGAGGCAGTGAGTGACGATTCCAGTGTGGCAAGCATGGACTGACCCGTGCAGTGAGAGATTTGGTGTTGAAAGAAGGTCCGAGAGAAATCAGCTGAAGGAATTGCTTCATTCCGAAAGGCCTGATCTTGACAGGTGTGACGGAATATGTTGGTTAACGAACTCATGTTTACAGATCCTTTTTGGGTGGCCCATCTCCACCATGCATGCCATCCATACTTCTTTGAAGAACTATTCAACAAAAATAGCATTATTGGGATTGCAACAGATCTTCTATATGGAGGAGGAAGAACCTCCACCATCACACACGAATCCAGTCCTGGTGCCCTTGACACTCCCTCCGGCCAGAAGCCTAAGATGGGCCAAAATATGGATGGGGTTCTTCATCAAGAGTCCATCTACCAGGACCTGACTGATGTCGATCACCCATTGCAACCGTTTGAAACCTGTTTAGGTCGCCGACCACCACCTGTTAGGGAGATCTGTAGAGTCGGGTGCTGGCAGAGACCTCGTGGCCTTCCGGCCCCCAATGACCTCAGAGCAGACCTCAGAGCAGCCGTTCAGTCACGGGGGACGGGTCCATCGCAGAGTTGGCCTAGGCTACGGGGGTGGTCGGTGCAGAGCCTTGCTTGGCCTAGGCTTAGTCTGAAAAAGGTTTAAAAGAAGGTCATCTTGTAAAGTTATCGTAAGACTAATACAATTGTATAATGGCCTATTGCTTGGCCAAGCTGCTTGGCCTAGGCTGGCTTAGTGTGAAGTCATCAGTATACAGCTGCGGGCCCGTTTTGAGTTGCTGGCTGCCTTTGCTGGCTGCCTATGCACAACCACGCCGGGACTCACTGGCCACGCGGAAGAATCATGATACAGTTTATGACCCATACACTCCTGACTGGTGCGACTCGTAGGGAATGAGGGTGGCTGGATCCAAAGGAATCTGTATTGGAAGATCATTCCCTCATTCCATAATTACTAAGCACCAGTCAGACTCCATGGGACTGCCAGCCAGGACTGCCACCCCAGACAGACTCCCAGTCAACCAACCATCCCTGGCTGTTTCGCCGTTCGATCGGGGCTGGCGGTCCCAGACGCGTCGGTCGCGTCTGGGTGATGGGCTCCAGTCGGAGGTGAGCGGCGGATCTGGGGGAGACCGGAGGGTCGCCGGAGGTGCCGATGATGAGGCGACTGGAAGCGATCGGATCGGGGAGGAGGTAGGGAGGTGGGAACCAGGTATGTAGGGCCTGGTTGCAAGGAAGATGCAAATCGGATCCATAGTCGCAAGGACTATGCAAGTCAGATATATACGTCATATTATAAGCTATATAAGTGATAATATACCTAGAAGTATTTCGCCGAGCCTTCCAAGACCATTCAATTAAAGGTTCACGTGTTGTAGTCTCAAAACGCTGCGTACACCCAGGGTTCGGTCTCCAAGGCCCGGACCCTGACAGTTCTTTTCCGCTGGGCTGAGAAATCCCCTCCGGGAGTTCCCCCAGGACCTGCAGAGACGTTCAAAAGCACCACGTCTCAAGACCACGATGACACTCCCTGGAAGACCACATGGGGGTGGAAGTGGAGAATGACCCCGAGTTCGGAAGACCATGAAATCCACGAACCAAACAGGAGGTGCACTTCCATGTTAGTTCTAGGGAGAGTATAGAGATAGACCAGCTGGATAAGTACCAGTCGATGTATGGTTTAGGTAGCAAGTGGCGACAGGATTCCATAGAACTCTTAGTGGTGTAGCATTTCGTGTAAAAATATGGGCGTGCGTATCGGTATGATCATTGTTCACCATACTCGCTAGGCTTGCCACATCATGGAGTTCCGGTGTCCAAAGTTTCACAACAGGGTCACATTTTGGTCGAAGGCGGTTTCCAACACGACGCCGAGCGTCAACAGAACCGGGCACAACCTAAGAGTGCCCGGGCAGGTCCACACAACTCCACCCAGCCACCTGCCACTGCGCCGGTGCCTGCGCTGCTGACCTGAATGGGGTGACTTTCAGCGAGCGTCGATGGATGGAAAGAGTCCGTTTTGGGGGGATTGATGCGAAGGTCTTTCTGGAGAACCACCAGGAGTGTGAAAGGCAATGGGATGGACACGGTGTCCATCGGATAGCGGGAGACTCAGACATAGGACGGACTCTCAAGGACTGAGTCGTAGGACATAGGACACAGACATAGGACTCTTTGATAATAGTTCTTAGGCCAGGCCTAGACATTCTTCAGAGCGTGAAGTTCACCCACTTCATCCGGGCAGACGTTGACTGGTCGTTCTCAACCCGGCGGAGCCTTGGAGAGCGGTCGCGAATGGGAGACCAGCGGCGGAACGAGTCAAAAACGATCAAGAGAATGGTATTCAGGGGACCTGAAAGGCACCTGAAAGGCAGCTTCCTGTACTTCAGGGGTCACTTCAGTCGGTCAAAACATCGTCAAACTGGACTCCTATAGGTTTGTTTGCTTCATCTGGGAGTGTGTTCAACCCACACAGCAACCTTATTCATTCACCTTTGGTTAACATCGATTGTCTACTTTTTTAGAGGAGCAGTCGAAGAGTTCAGGAGTTCTGGAAAGACCAGTTTCAACCGTTCTATGTTTTCAGATTGTTTTCTCTCCAAGTTCTTCATCATCAAGAAGAAACAACAAACACTGCAAACAAGACTCCCTGCGTCCAAGCGATGGGCGCGGGACATGTCCATGGCTGAGCGACACCTGTGCAGCTCAACGCTCTATGCGGAGGAGGGGTTGGAGAAGCATGTCAAACGGGGCACCAACAAGCTTGCTTGGCCGTGAGAAGTCGCCCAGGTCACATGAGAAGAACTGGAAGCAAGATTGGATGAGGTCAGGTCTGCTTCACCCCCAAAGACATCCGGTGTTTTGAATTCACTCACTCCATTGACAACCCTCAGCAACCTGTTTCTTTTGTCTGAAAAAGAAACACATAAAAACATCACAAAGCAATCAAAATGCCATACTATCTGGACGCATCGTCTCATCCAAAAACCACCCGCAGCTTCTCCTCCATGCTCTGGACTCGTCTTCCGAACCCGCGCGAACCGCGCGATTCCGCTGTAGCCACGCGCGACCGCGGTGGCCCGAACACGAGTCCCGTTTGCGCACAAAAAGCATCAGGACGTGCTTCGTGGTGGGCATTCCACGGTGTGGGGCTCCTACTTCGATGCAACAAGGCGCCGCGGGCGGGCGTTGAGGTGGTGGGGGTGGGGGGGAAAGGCCGGGCCTCAACTGTTTTGGTTTGGGGGGTGCCTCAGCAGCTCAAGGTGGTTCAGTAACAGCTGTGGTCAACGACTGACCTTGTTAAATAAAGACAAACAGCTGTGGTAAACAGCTTGGGGTTGTTCGTTGTTCGTCTTCCAAAAAGAAGATCCAGTTGTTTGTTCTTTGTTTGGTGGCAACTAGAGGTGGTCGAGTAACAGCTGTGGGTCCGATGGATCCTGGATTTGTGACCTTTGATGACCCTGACTGAGTTTCTTTCTTTTGAGTTGGGTTGGGCAAGAACAGCCTGGAAGTCCAATGACTATACTTTCCCTGAGTGAAGTAAAGAAAATCCTCTTTCAGATCCCATAATTCTTTGTATAGTCTTTGCCTCGCAAGAACAGTGTTCTCAGCTGAGGTGGGTGTTAGGCAACTAATCTGGAGAGGGGAATGGGCTTGGGTGGGTGGAAGGGCATGCAGTAGGGGCCGAACAGCGAAGGGGAGAAGAGGGGCAGTTCTGCAGTTCCATTGATGCAATGAATTGGCTTAAAGGAACATCCACAGGAAAACCCCTTGTTGTCACCCCAAAATCCAAGGCCAGTAGACTTTCCCTACAGCATTATGTTCTTCTGCTAGGGCCACGGAAAGGGTTATTCTTGGAAGGAAAACAGATAGCCGGTGTCTATACACCATCCAAGCTCCGTGGAGCTGGTGTTGATATGGATGATATGTGTTTTGTGAGCGGTTTATGGTGAAGACTAAGGGCTTTTCCTATAGATTCTGCGTGCCAAGTCACATCGTTTCGGCCGAAGCACATCTTGTGCGCACGGGAGGCCGAGGGTTGGACGAGCAACGTCCGATTCTTTGGCCACCCTTTTTCGGTGGCCAAGAAAGGACGTGTAAAGCATCTATCCTAGGATTCCTGGCCTACCATCCATGTACTATAGACATCTATAGACTATATCGAACGACCATCGTTTTACTAAGGATTGACACTGCAAAACCAGGTCAACCATGGTCTTAATTGTTTTGGAAGTCTAGGATAAAATGAGGTAAGCCTCGACTTGTACATGTTTTTGTTGGTGTTTAGGTGTTTTTTGTTGGTGTTTCTTCTTTCGAAAACTTCTGATGCAAGCCCGGGGTGTAGCATCATCTCCTCCGCTCCCCCAGTCGCCGTTGGGGCTATGCTTGCTGCCGCAGTCTGGACCGGAATGAGGCGCGGAACGCCCAGGGCGGAACTGCACGGCGCGATGGATGGACCACAGCAAGAAAACAGTGAGTGAGTTAAAACGGTTTAAAACTATGGGGCGTGTTTTACGATATATTCTTACCTTTGGGGCGATCTTTTCCGTATGGATGAATCCGTTTCTTGCAACAGAGGAGAATTATGTTGTCGTCGTCGTCGCTGTTGTTGTGGTTGTTGTTCTTTTTTCTGGTTCCTGGACAGTATATACCAGGATCTACCTCCACAAGGACAATTGCATTTGCTTGGACCATTGCGGTCATACTCGGTCCAAAAAAGAGACCTCCTGACCTGGGTCCCGACCCGGGTGTACGAACAGCTCGACTCTATTTGGGGGTCGATGCTTCTCAGAGAGATCGTGAGAATGAGTTCACCCTCGCCTAGAATGGACTCTCTCGGGATCAGATATGGTCAGATGAAGCCAGCTGGAAGTTTGGATGTCCAATTGTTTGGAGGAAGATGACCTGATTTCAGTGACTTCATGTGACTTCCTTTACTTCCGTGGTGTCAAAAGTTCGTTGAACTGGACTTGTTCGTCAAAAGCTCGTTTCGACATCGGGACACCAAGACAGAATCCCCCGAAGATCCATGAAGTACAGTACGTATGTTGTTTCCTTCTTTTGTTCACGTATCCTGGAGTAGGCAGAATATGAACTCAGCCAAAAAAGCGGATCCGTTTCCAATTTAATGGTGTGTTGTTATTTGTTTCCTCATATTCTAGCTGCGCTGTATAGATGTCTCCATTTGTTTTTTCTCCATATTCTATCATATCTACACTCCATCTCTGTGACGATTCGGCATCCATGAACACGATGTCGAATCGACCGGACCGTGTGTATTTTCAGGCGTGTCCTCAAAATGAACCTCAGGCGGGGTGGGGGCAAGATGGGGCAAGGGTGACCCTGTTTAGACTTCAAAGGCCATATATCACCACTAAACAAGTGTTGTTATGAGCTTTAAAATCCATAAAACCATGTAAGAACCATGGTTGTTTGGGAAGAACAGCCTATGCAATGATGGGCCAGGAATTGTAGGGAGAAAGCCGTTGACCCGACATGACCAAAACAAGAATCCTTGTGAATTCTCCCTTTGGGGCACATTGGTGGACACCTCCGAACCCTTTGGAGCAATCATCCACATCCCAAACCACAGCAAATGCAACATGGTCCAAAAGCCTCCATTTTTTGGTGGGATTCCTGACCCCACCATTGAATGAATCAGCTGAGTCTCAAAAAAGAAAGAACTGGTTTTTTACGAAGCACCCCGGCTCCTTTCCCGAACGACGACTGTGCCGGCTGGCTTGTACCGGCGCCGGCTGGCCGTCGGTACTCTCTCGACCGGTGGAAAATGCATGCGTCGGTACTCTCTGACGAAGTACCCTGTGGAAGGTGCGATGTCATGGTCAAAGAACTCCTTGATACTCCGTCATATAGGTAAAAAGAAAAAACAGTTCGTTCCAACAACAAGCAGTTGTGTCATAGGGCTTATGTGGGGTCCATACCATGTCATCTGGGGTGCATCCTTTGGCATGCCTCTCACTTCACGGCTGGCGGTGGATCTGGAGAGCGAAGAGCGAATAGCTATGGAGGAGGATGAGGTGAAAAAACAGATCTATGTTTCCATCACCGAAGGAACTGCAAAAGATCATCAAGCTTAAACATATTTGAACATGATCATTAAAAGTAACATTCTGCACTACAGAAGGTGTTTTCCTCTTGTCTTTTTGAGCGGACTCCTAGATTCTTAGAGCAGACTTCTTTGGTTGTTGTTAAGCACAGACTGTACTAGACTCTCAGAGATTATCGGTAGCTGTCGGGGTGTCCAAGAATTCTCTAGCAAGGACACCCGGATGGTCAAGGAATCTGTTGATGTAACTCTAAGCCCTTGGATGTCCTATAGGTGCCCCATCCAGGATATCACCTAGGTTCTATTCTATAGGTTCGATCATCCTATATACCAGGGGCCCCACAAACCATCAAAAAGCATGGTTTTCTTCAGCAAACAAAACATGGTTTTGGTATGTGAAAACCATGAAAACCGCTATTGTCCATACCAAACAAAAACAGATCTGGGGGGGCCCTGATCTGTTTGGTTTTGGGTATGATCTATTTTGGTTCGGGCCCCTGGTAGATCCACATAGAATCCATCAGCTGGCTGTCCATGTAGATCAGCTTTCACCCGAGCGAAGGCGGTGGACAAGGCGGAAAGCTCCGAGGAGGAGGTCGGGGCAGGTGATTGGAGCACGGGATTCCGGTCCCCGACCCTTTCTTCCCAGAAGTTGGGTCGGTGACCAGGAAAAGGGGAGACATGGAAACACCTCAGAATTCTCCAAGAGAGGCCGCCAGGTTTTCCGGGACCGGGGGGTATCCCGGTCCACGGAAGCAGTTCTCATGAGGTCGGGTCCTTCAACCTACCTCTCGGACGGGTCTAACCACCGAGGAACGCGACTCCTCTCGATGTGGGATACCGCGGGGCAACGCTGGGTTCTGGAATCATGCTGGTGACACCTATAGTAATTAAATGGTTATTATTTATCTCCAGTATGCTGGCTTTTTATACATGTTAATGGTTCTACTAGGGATTTTTAGACACCAGGACCATTAAGATGTTGGTCAATGGTTGGTTGCTGTTGGTGTGCAGTGACTGCAAGTGATTGCGTTGGTGGTCCGGGTGATTTTTGCCTTGGCCACTCGAATTGGAGGCATTTCTTTGTTTTGATATCTATTGTTGCTTCGGTCTTCTTTGTGTTTCGATCTTCTTAGGCGTGTGTGTATGTGTGTGGTGTTTCTCCACCTGCTCGGGGTTAAATGACTTTTCGGTCTCAATTGGTCTCCGCAACTGATGCAGGGGTTGGGTTTTGGAAGACACAAGGGTTTCTCGTTGCATGTGGGTGTGGTTGTTTTTTGATGTTTTTTGTGAAGGCTTCATTCCCAGTGTTGTGTGTTTATAACTTTGACTGATGGTTTTGTGTATGCATGTTTTTACCTTATACAGACCTTGGTATGCTGCATGGCATGGCAAAACCTCAAGAGGAATCCTCCAACAGCGCTGGTTGCAATCCCGACATCTCTAGAACCAAGGGAGCAACTACACTCCCGACTCAGTACACCCATGGGTTCGGAAAGGGGAGAATTCAACTATGGTCCCTTCCAAGAGAGGTCGCCAGGTCTCCCGGGACCAGGTCGGACCCGGAAAACCTGGCATACCCACCCTGGCCTGGGGGATACAGTAGTCTATAGGGTCCTGACCCACCTCTGTTGCCCAGGGTCTTTTTTCCCGCTTCCGCTTCCATGATCCACTTCCTGTTCAGACCTGTGACCATGATCCTTTGGTTGACAGATGTTCGTCCTCCCACTTCGCCCGTTCTCAGAGGTTCGTTCGGACTCTCTCACAGTCACTTGGAGTATAGATCTTGTTCTACAAATGTTGCAAACACCAGTTACCAGTTGGACCCAAAACGGGGAGAAACTATGCCAGTAGGACATGTATACCAGGGACCACGGAGTTTCTATACACCGAACTCCCTGGTGCTGGTCTTGGTACAGAATTATTTCGCTTATTGTTGACTCCCGGCAGTCTCGCTTCCAAAGACTTTCCTGCAAATACTCCTCTCCTCCAAACATGTCCCGCTAAGAGCTGGATGTCACTTTGGAATCTTCCATCTCCTTTCCATCCAAACTCTCCCTCCACAGGATGCTGCAGCACAGGCGCAGCTCATTGCCTGGCAGGCACAGTTCATGCCCAGTTCGGTCATGGAAATGAGCGGAAAAACAGCGTTTTGGTTGGGCCTGGAAAACTCCGTCTGAGTCGATGTTGGGCAACTGTGCTTCGTTGTCCAAACCAACAGAGGTGGGTCAGGACCCGAATGAATTCGACGATCCCAGGCGGACCGGGATATTTCAGGTTTTTCCGGGTCCGATTGACGGTCACTGGCGACCTCTCTTGGAACAATGCGAGATTTTGCATCGAAAGGTCCCCTGAAGAGTTCGGGATCAGCTCTTAAACCATTATGGACGCACTTGAACATCCAGGCACAGGTCCAACAACTGTGAATGAGACCAACCAGGACCCCCCTGTCGGGGTGTCTATTTATAGCCCCTTAGCAGCTAAAGGGGTGTTCATTAACCACCCCCTTGCGGGTACTGGAATTAAATACCTTCTGACACACTTGAATGCAGCAATCACAAAGGGTGAACCATGGTGACGCGTTTTTGGTGAAGTGCAGTGGCGAATTCAGATGTGATACATCATTAGGCCGGGCATGTCCGTCCGACCTCCATAGATCCTGGATCTGTGTCGGTGATCCGTTTCGGCCGGTTTCACCTATACAACAGCAGCCAAGGTTGATAGACATTTGACCGACCTTTTGGGGTGTAAAAAGAACCTGGAGGTTTCCAGTTCTTGCAATATATGGCAACTGTTCGATCCTTCCATAGGAAGTGGCTGGGACTGGTGGGGAAATCGGTGCTCCATCTCCAGACTTCTTTCTTTTCTGCTTGCCAACAGAGGTGGGTCAGGACCCGACTTACTTCGACGATGCCAGGCGGACCGAGATACCTGCAGGGTTTTTTCCGGGTCCGATTGACGTCTCTTAGGCTTCCAAGGTCCCCACCATTCTGGCTGAGTGTTCCATTGGCCCATGGTCTCTCGAACCTCCCACAGTGCCCCCCTCGCTTGGTTGGGACTGGGTTTCGGCCACCAGAGCCATTGGAGCGCTAGGACGGACAGCTGCTGGATGCGCGACACACGCCAGAGCAGCCGCCGGTGCTCGGGCGACAGACGCCAGAGGCGGGGGGAGGGGAGGCATAGGGCACCGAGGGGGGAGAACAGATCTGATTCTAAGGCGTGCAGGGGGGCAATGAGCAGGATGTTTTGGGAATGCCCATTGCGGGGAGGACGAAGTATCAGACGCCTCTTGCGAAGACGTCCAGGGACCCCTGCCGAACCCGGCAGGTCGAATGTCCAGGGAACGAAGTGATCGGCGGGGGTAGAACCATTGGGTCCTAATACCCGGTAACAGGACCCGTAAACAGTGATGACCTATTTTGGAACTGTCGGCCTGCAACCTAACCATCATCATCCACTGTTACAGGTATTAGGATAGATTCAAGGTAGAAGTTTATCACGGAGGAAGAGGTCCTTAGTAGTCCAGTGGTGGGGAGGGTCTCAGTTGTCCATCCTCCCCGGTTCTCTCTCCGACGCGCGACGCGCACATGTGTGGAATTGCAACGACGGCCTGTGAACCGGTTCATATGAGCCATGGTCAATATAGGGATTATCAAACATGACTATAGGGGATGGTCGCCGACTTCGACGGTTGCTTCGAGATCTTCCAGACCTCGGTATCATGAATCTTCACTAGGACAGGGGTGTCGAAAGGAACACATCCTGCCTCCGATGATCAAGGCAAGAATATCAGGTCTCCTTCAAAAAGATCATGTACTTGCCCCAGAGGTTCTTGTATGACTCGGCATGCACCTGTGTTCTTTTTCACACTGATTGCTACCTCCCTGGCGAATGGCCACTCTGGCGCGCGCTTCACGCTTCATCAGGACTTCCTCGCTCACTTCGTGCTGTGCCCTCGCGTCGTCGGCGCGTCGCGGAAGCGCCTGCACGGCGTGGCAGGCTGGATGGAGCGGTCGACGTTGGAAGAAATGGCGCAGCGACCGGCGAACTCACATGTTCTCAACCCCCAGGCGGCCGTCCGTGAACAAATTGGTTTGATCGGACTGTTGTTTTTTGTACCAGGTCTTTTTTGATCTGTTTCCGGGGTAGAGGGTGTCAAATAGTACCGTTTGCTTTTTTATCCCTGGAAGTCCAGGTCGACCATGTTTAAATGGTTGATCTGGTGACCTGTAGTGTAAAACCCTTCGTGAAACAGCTCGGTTGTTCAGGTTTCAGGCTATTAAAACAATGGTGGGCCACGACTTCTAGGGATATAGTAGCCGCTAGTCGTTTTACTTGGACAGGTTCCAACAAATAATGGTGTCTTGCTGGGTGGGCTTTGAACACTGAATCTTTCAGGCCTTTTGTTGTCTTTGGCCGAGTGGATTGGAATTGATCAGTCCTTCAATGTGCTAAAGATTGAAGATTCGCCAGGTTTGGACACATCTACCCCTAGCCTTCAGTTCGACCATTAAAAGAACGGTTGAGCTGGTGGTGTAGTGTAAAAATCCTTAGTAAAACAATGGTTCTTGGTGGGTAAAGACCAGTAAAACAATGGTTGTTTGAATCCTAGGGTCTACTGTTCGATCTGGTTGGGGTGTTGCTCCAAGTCATGTGCCCCCCCGAAAGTCATCTGTTCGCTCCTTGTCCTGACCTCATTCCACACCCAAGGAACTAGCTGAAATACCTCTTGTTTCAAGACAATCATGCAGCTGCTTGTTGATATGTCCTTTTTGCTTCCGCTTGTGCTTCTCATCGTCATTCCCAATCGTGACCGTTGATTCATATTCCATTACATGCAGATGTTTCACCATCCTCCAGTCATGAGTTTCCAGGGACTGCCATGAATCAAGAATCATCTCTGCAGTGGAAGTGAAAATAATCCATCCCAATCCCAAGGCAAAGCCTTAAGAGTCAATTCCAATTCCAAGTCAAGTCAGTCATCCCTACTTTTTCTCCATCCTTTTTTGTACCCACAGGTACTGGTTTCATCATTGGACCGAGCACGAGAACCCTCCCAAGGCGCGGCCGTTCGTTGAAAGCGGCCGTGACTGTGCCCGTGCGTGATTGCGTGGTGGTTTAGCATGACGGTGCTTCGTTGGAGCTCCTCCAAAGCTTGTAGGCCTGCGGCGCAGGATTGAATGGAGCCCCCACTCCCAAAGTCACATAATGATTGCAATGGCTTGGCAGAAACAACCAACGGACGCCCACAAATGTCCGACACTGGTGGCAGTCCTGGTGTCGGTTTGGTGACTTGACTAGCGACCTATACCTCACTCTGAAGGCAGTTTGAAGGAGGACCCCTCTTGTGAAATGGTGAGGTTCGTTGCAGGACATGTTTCGAAGAGCAAAGCAGACAGGACGGGGATCGGTTTCACGGTCGGTCTTCCGGGTTTCCTCTTTCGTCACGCTTCGGCCACTGGAAAGACCTCGTTTGGTGATACCGAGCAGAAGGCAACAGAATTCCTTATTGTGCGTCTCCAAAGAGGTCCAAACACTAATATGCACAGTTGAATCCCAAACTTCAGTCTCGTGACTAAGTCTCCATCAGCATCATCTCATATGACATCCCGGCTTTTGGTATCATGGTTCTTGATCAAAACGAGCTGGCAAGACGAGATCGCGTCTTGCGAGTTCTTGGACCCCAACCGCTTGGCCGCTCCGTCGAACGCCGCTCGAGCGGCGCAGACCACGCAGCGTCAGGCGCAGCGGCAGACGACGCACGAGGCGCTGCTCCAGCTGATGCAGCGCTTGAAACGGAAGGCGGATCCGTCGAAAATCCGCCAGAGTGGAGAAATGATAAATGATAGATCCCAGACACGACTAGTGGGACTGCCATAGATGCCGAATTTCATTGATCCCCAGTCAACCACCCCTGGCCGTTTCTCGGCAGTCCTGGCTGGCAGTCCCATGTGTCGTGTTTGGGGATCATCATGAGCAATGCCCGGTTCTCAGGCCAAGTCCACTGCTAGCTATAGCAACATATTGATACATATTGTGATTTACAGCAATATATAGCAAGAGCAACATATAGTCCACTATTAAATATACAGCAACTATTGTAATTGTGATCTATTGTGACTATGATGATTATTTTGATGATTGATAATCTTTCCAAGCCACAGAGAGCTTTGATCGCACCGTCACATTTGCCTGGCCCGGAGTCCAAAGACCACACATGACACATGACCTCCCTCCGAGTACATCAGCACTGAAGAACCTCCACTCCGCAGTTGGGGCAGGCTTTGGATCGCAGCTTGCTCCAGCACCTGACGCAGTACGCCGACCTGGCGCAGCGCCGGGAATACGCGCAGGCGGGGCACGGGAACTGGTGTGCCCGTTTTGCACTGCGCGGAGCTACCAGGAGGTGGGGAGAAGTTGAGGTGCAGTGAGGATTTGCCCTAGGGATTAAAGATGATTTAAGTACCTTCGCAGGGTGTCTTCTCAGAAGGTACTTGGACCTTGCCAAACCTACAATCAAAGTCATTCAAAGTCTCTCCTTGCTCATCACCTTCTCAGAGGGTATGTGGATCCCTATAGGGTTGGTATAGTTCTCGTAATCTTTGAACACTTGGGGTTCGATCATGTTTGGACACAGACCGGTGAAATTGGATGAACATTTGAGTGGGACACCTGACCCTTCTGTCCCAACCTACAGGGTCCAGGGTCCAGGATGTTGTTGGGACAGAGCCTGCACCAGGTTTAATCGGACAACTGCATTGAGTATGTCTTTTTGTCCAGGCCAACTCCAGAAAAATGAGGTGCAACTCACCTGTAGGGGAGGATCCTCCGTCTCATTTGCCCTTGCTTCCGGCCTTGCCATTTCCGGGGATGGAGTGGGGGTGCGTTGAACATCGTGGCCAGGCCGACGATGTTTATGTGGACATCACCATCGGCAAAGCGTCCGGGCCACTAAGGGGGACTCGGAACACTTCGCGGAGAGGAAGAGTAACCCCCAAGGCGTTCTTGCCCTAGACGACCAAGACGTCCAGTTAGATGAGAATTATAGCTAGTGTTTAAAGGTAAAGGACAAAGGGCAAATCCTTTTCAGGTCCCCAAACCGTCAGAACAGAGGTTTTTTTCTTTTTTACATAAGTAGTCTTTCACTCTCAGGGGCCAGAGTCACTGGCATCTCCGAGTCATCTCCAGCCCTTTCTGAAACAAGCCATATGTTCTCTTCGTCCTGACCCAGCGGGCCAGGCTGGTTACCGATGTGACTTTTCAAAGAAAAAACACCAACCAAACTCAACAAAAAACCATGAGTCCAGGCTGGTCAAGGTTTGTGACTTTTCTGAGATTAAAACACATGAAACCCAACCAAAAAAGAGACAATGAAAGGGGATCACATCGCGAAGAAGCAAACCGGACGATAACGTGGGAACCCGGACCTGTCGGCCCATGTGGCCATGAGATGTTTGCTTCTTCTAGCCTTTAAGGGGCGAACTAGGCTATCTAACAAAGATGATCAAAAGCTCTAACATGTTGTTCTACTCATTTCTACTCTGTCCAGTTTTTCTGATTGTGGGGATGCCAATGTTTTTTTTCAATGGAGAAGAGAGGATAGTCGTTGTCCTTTACGGTTGAGTTCACATTGCGTCCAAACACCTGTTGCACAGCTTCATCCTAACTCAAAATTCATCCACTCGGGATGTCCTCTCTACACATGTCTATCCATCTTTGATCTTCAGACCCCAACAGCGGCTAGCTGCTCTTGCGGGTCACCTCTCCCAGTGCCCTTGGGGCGACCCGGGGCGCCGGCTCCACGAGGACTTGGCATTCCCCCTTGGACTTGGGAGAACAACGAGCGCATTGGGGACAAGGATGTAGTCTCAGGAGCGGGACGGCGTGGTGGCTTTTTGTTGGACAGTTCACAGGAAGTCATACCTGTGGTCATGCATCTAGAATTATACTATAAATATATATATATATATATGTAAGCCATGTATAATATGATGTGATATAATTATGCAAGCCATTTATAGACATACAGAGGCATTGTGTGTCCAAATGATTCTTCATTTGTCTCTACCGATGGTTATGTCGTAAACGTTGGGGACACAGGTGTTATACCGCCTTGTCACACTTCAGGCTGCCTGGTCTTATACAGGCTCCGGAGCCACCGGTCTTCTCATCGGTATGCTTCCGGTCAAGCATCTCGTACCACACGAAGCATCACGAAGCTCACCGACACACGCCTCACCAACCAAGGGATCTCCAACCCCAAAGAGTTTCTAAGTTGGGCTATGCTTTTTAAGCACCCGAAGAAGAAGAAGAAGAAGAAGAAGAAGAAGAAGAAGAAGAAGAAGAAGGTGTGTTTGTTCCTCAGTTTTTACGCCTGCAAGGGACAATCCCCCACCTGGAACTGGGAAGAAGTGCCTGGTCGCAGCTGGTGGTGGTGGTGGGCAGCGGAAAATCCGTTTCGACCAGCCATTCGGCGCTCAGGACCATGCAAAGACAGGTCGTGGAGAAGGACGTGAAGTGCCTTGGGCTGTGTGGCGTGACTATGTGATTAGTCCCTGGCCTTCAATGACAACCCAAAAAATGGTACAGACCTGGTGACTGTCAAAGCTTTGTAGTGTAAAGTCCTTACTAAAATGCGAAACCAATGGTTGGTTGGTAAAGGCTATGAAATCAATGGTGGGTTCTGGGTTCGGAATCCTAGGGTAGCGAATGCTGAAGTGGCCGCGGAGAGATCTGCGGCAGGGATAGTGAATGGTGGACGCGGAGGAAGGTTCCCCAGCAATACTATACTATACATGCTTAGCTCACAAAGAAGACGTGGATGAATTGGCTTGACATGAAGGAATGGTTGAAACATTTCAAAGCGGGTATTTGCCAGAGTTTGTAAAACCTGATCGCAACATTCTTTTCATAGTTGGTCAAGGTCCCTATTGACGATCCTTACCCGCCACACCCCAGTGATTTTTGAACCTCCCCAAAAGCAACAGGAGTTGACCTCAGCTTTTCTAACAAAGCAAGTTGCAAGCCGATCCCCTAGTAGTGAGGAAGGTATAGACAACCAGCAATAGCAATCGTTTGCACAGCTTACCACCGGCAAAGCGTTGCATGTGTTGGTGTTTTCTGGTATATAGCCACTGTTGGGGGCGGTGTTTTCCATGTTTCGACTGGAACTTCCTCCATTCCACTTGCCTTTTGCCTTGCTTCGGTCAGACGCTCTGAAGCCATCCATGTGGGGCAAACACTTCAAGCATCCTGGTCCAAACACAGCTCCACGAGTCCAGGAATTCACCGAGTCCGGACCTCCGCAAAGACTTCACCTGGACCCACTGGAGTTGGGTGGCTTCATGGACACCCCGAATCACCTCAAGGCTGGGGCTATCAATAGCCCCTGGTCCGTGGGTCCTGGTGGCGTGTGTTTCGATTTCACCGGTTGGACCGATCGGCGACAGACACATAGGACACAGTAGGATGTCCTGGCCGCTGAATTCTGATTCCTAGAGCATCCTTAGTAGGGTCTGAGTTGAATTCAACAGATAGAGAGGGTAGTGAACCGGGACACCCAGTCCTGGGTGTCCTACAATGCGCCGAAATCTTCTAGAATAAAGACAGATGAAATCTGAATCAGGAATCCTTCTTCTTTGGAACAAATCCTAGGCAACCTGTTGATAACAACTTGTTGATAACAACTTGTTGATAACAACCTGTTGATAACAACTTGTTGATAACAACTTGTTGACAACACATAGTCAGAACGTCGCCCTGGGTAGGATGGTCCTGGTCTGTCCAGCGTTGCTTCCTTCCTTCCTTCGCTTCTTCAGCGTCCAAGGAACGCGAGCGCCTTCGACACGGACCCTCTGGTGCGGAGCTTCGTCCATGCGCTCAAGAGGCGCCGTGACCACCGGAGGTTTGGGTGGTTTGGGTGGTCGGGTGCGCCGTGAAGCCTGGAAGGTCCAGCCGTGAAGTTCGTGACCCCCAAAAAGCGTGTGTATATATTATACAATATATTATATACATAGCCTTGCAGCTTCTTCAAAGTGGGCTCCTTTGTTTGGATGTCACAGGTCCCATTTTCCGTATATACTTTGGAGATCTTGGGAGGGTTCAGGATGGGTTTCCGTGAGGCAAAGGAGATGCGACGCAGGGACGTGTTTTTCGAGGGTTGGGAACTCCAATTCCGGCAAGGCGTTTTTCCTCATGGCAAGGCTTGGGAAAGGAAAGGAATCAGGAAGGTCCGGACTTTTGCATGAGGTACAAAACATTTTGTTCGTTTGTTTTGGCACAAGGATCTTCATTGTACTGACATTAAGGGACGATGTAGGGTCTTCCTGTGGGGTCTTCCTGTAGGGTTTTCCTGTAAGCTTTGTTGTTTCTTGGGGGGTTCGGAATGAAAGCACCTGCACAAACCAACCGACAGGTGGCCCTGAACGAGATCGGATCCGGTGTTTTCCTCGCAAGCCGGGCAGGATGGTGACCTACATGCAGACCGTTTGGGACACTCAGAGCTTTGCCAGTTGGAGCTGTGACAGTCTGGGCAGGTTGGGCAATTCAGAACTGTTTGTATCATGGATTCTACGATGATTCTACAGACTCTTTGGTGTCGACAATCATGCCAAGAGAGGTAGCCAGTGACCGTAAATAGGACCTGGAAAACCTGGGGTACCCAACTGGGATAGGTGAACTAGGGTCCTGACCCACCTCTGTTGGTGTGTAAGTCTTATGTGTGATGGAACAGTCTGACAGCTATATGTAGCTGTCTATTTTCTATATGTATCTATATGACATGGACAATGTGTTGTTCTTTTCCCTTGTCTATTTCTGCGGCAGAGGGATGTGTCCCCCAAAAAAGAGACTTTGGGAAGGTCTGGATCTTCCAACAGTGATCAATGTTTGCCTCTTCATCCATCAAAAGTCATAAGCAAAAAACACAGTTAGGCAGACATTTGGCAGAAATTTGGGATCAGGTCAGGATCTGTCTATCCACCACCCACATAGATAGCGTGTCCTTTTTTGGGGGGTGGACTTGATGGGAGCAAGGCCAGTGTTTCAGGTCTATTCCCAGGCTGCCCCAGTCGAGTTGAAGAAGTCTCAATGGAGTTCGACACCGACGTAGGACTTTGCGGTAAGTAACTACTCTCCCTGGAACTCACATGGAAGATCATGGAAGTTCACCCCCTTCTTTGTTTGTTTTTTGGGGCCATAAAAACCATCCACGTCACCATAAAGAGTTCCAGGGAGTCTAGACCCTACAGGTCAGTTGGACCTCATTGTACTGGAGTTGATCACAACTTTTGATGGATGAAATCGCAGAGCAGAATGCCCAAGCTGGAAGATCCAGTGTATGATCCAGTGTATGACCGCTTCTGCTTATGACCGCTTCCGGGCATCGTCTCAAACGCCACCGCAGGTGCAACCAAGTTGGGGAGCTCAGAGAGCCGGACGGTGGGAGCCTTGTTCCCGAAGAAGACAGCGCTGTGTCTTCAGCGCTGAAGACAGCGGTGGCAGCGGTGGCAGTAGCGGTCGATATTGGGATTCTTTGAAGTCATTAGGGGTCTCAAAGATGTTTCAGCGCGTGTGTTGGCATTCGTCCGTCTGGGGCGATTAAAACATGACATGACATCTATACCTGAAACCTTGATCATGACTTCTGTTTTGATAGGAAAAGGCAATGTTTAAGGGCTCCAAAACAGGGGTCAATCAGGTTCTAGATGGTTCTAGGTATAGTATATAAAACATGTATATAAAATGTATATATCTTCGGTAGGCAAACATTGTTCCATGAGGTCGGATTCCTCCAGCGAATTTTGCTCATCCCAGACACGACTAATGGGACTGCCATATATGCCTACATTGACCCCCAAAATCACCCAAACTGATCGGCATATACTGGGGACCCCAGTATGGCAGTCCCATGGGGTGTTTGGGCACGATTCATTCAGTGATACGTTGCTTGCTGATTGATGTCCTTCGAGCTAGGCTAGGCCAAGCGTCATCGGTTCGTGATCTTCGTCGCACTATATGCCTAGGTTGGGGTGGTTTCCAGGATCCAATAGGCATAATCAGCATACAGTATAAGGCATACATTGCAATATATTGCATACATGGAGTGTCTGGGTAGTGGTGATATACTTTGAAGATGCTCTCATCACCCACACAGCCTGAGCTCACGAACTGATGAAAGGCTGGTGGACCAGACTGACGTGGCTCCAGTAGTTGCTGACCAAACACGTCACACCCGACTGAAATCATTCCGGTTTTGACCCCAGCCTTCCATTTGACTGTGTTTAACGTTCCACGCTTCACGCTTCGGGTTCTGGGGAATCCTGCGCAGCGCAAAGCGCTTCGCGGTTCTTCGCGGTTCGAATGCCTGAAAGGGCATGGCGGTTTGGAACTTGATCCCTTGTTTGGGGGGGCGGAACTATACATGGAATCGGTGTCAATGAAGTGAACACATATGAAAATTTGATCCATGCGGGATCCAGTCGTGCCTTCTAAGGTCAGGTACGACTGGACCTTCCAAACCTCTACATGTCACAGTGTCTCCAATTCACCTTTCAGCTCTCAGGGTATATGGATCTCTGTATAGGGTTTTGGGGGGGGTCAATCCCCGTGCATGTTTTGGTGTGTTTCTTGGGGTTAAACATCTGTGGAGCATCGCTGTTGAATGATTTGACACCTGGCCGCTGCGTCACCGTAGCAACACTCCGCTGGTCGCTGGGTATGGTTCAAAACATGATCGTAGCGATGGACCCACAAAAAAGGGGGTCCTAGTTAGGGGTGGAAATTTCTTCTGGGAAACATGGGGCCCATCCACTAAAACCAATAGACTCATCTATCATTGAATCCATCCCGGGGGAGTGTGACCTTCTTTGGAGCCATATGGGATACAGCTGACTGCCCAGCCACGCGGTCCCAGAGCTAAGGCGCGGACCCCTCGAAGCAGGGCCACGTGCCAGCGCCCAAAGCCAAAGCAGATGAGGTGCGGATTGTGCCCGGCTTTCACCGGTGGAGGCGTTTGCACGAGAAGACTCCGTCTTCAGCGAGATTCGATTCAAAGGGGCACAGGCAACGAGAAGTGTTTTGACACTTACTGTAGTAGGACTCAGAAGTGTTTGACTTGTACACATTTGTTTGACTTGTGAAATCAGTGTTTGACTTGTACACATTTGTTTGACTTGTGAAATCAGTATAATTACTCAGAAGATCAGAGCGATGACCTGTAGACACCGACTCGACTCTATCGAAATCGACGTAGATCGGATTTTAAGTGATAAGTACACCCGCTCGAAGTGGTGGCCCACCATTGTTTTCAATAGCCTGAAACCCGAACAACCGAGATGTTTCACTAAGGGTTTTACACTACTACAGGTCACCAGATCAACTATTCTAAAAATGGTCGACTGGACTTCCAGGGTACATACAATAAGTTTACTGAGTTTCCTGTATATAGATTGCAGTATATACAGTATACTGCACCAGGACCCTCCAGACGGGGTGTCTAAGAATAGCCCCACAAAGAGGTTAAGGAAGGTGTCCGGAATGTCAACAACTTACATGTTTCTTCTTTGTGCACAACATACAGATACATGTAATTACATGACCTGCTGCTCCAACATTTTTGTTTGTGGTTTGCACCTGTTTATCCATGTTTATCCAGTCAAGATGGTCACCACTATAGTATGTCCATGTCTATCCAGCACAGTTTACTTTAAAACACATATAGATACACAAAGAAGCTACGTATATAGGTGGAGGCCATCGCTATCAGGTTGGAGGCCATCGCTACTAGTAGCAAATATAGCGTTACGTATAGTAGCTTCGATTGTTACGCCCCGTTCGTAGCAAGGCCGCGCCAGCCTGGCGCGCCCCGTTGGTCGCATCCGAACGCTCCCAGCGAACGAGTGAACGCCGTGTCTTCCCGCTCCGGCGGCACGTCCCATCGCGGTCGCCCATGTCGTTTTTGTGCCAGGTCGGACTGCCCGTGAGGCCCGTCGTTGTCAGTGAACACCGGTGGTTTCACCGGTGGCCGAGATGCAGAGATACAGCTGGGCAGAGCGGCGGAGAGGTGGAGTTGCCAACAGGGGCCAACAGGGGGAAGAAATTCCCTCCAAAAGAGATCAGCTGGGCAGGTGAGGTGAGTTTGGAGAGACTGCAAGTGGAAGAGATACAGAGATACAAGGGCAGAGAACACCCTCACTAAGAGAAGTGGATTGCATGGGTCTCCTGGAAGTGGATGGTTCTTCTTACAAGCAGGGTGTGCCATCCACTTCCATGTGATGTCATTGTCGGAATTGTAACTTATAATCGAAAGAGTTATAGAAATGGTATCGACAGAACCCTCTGCTCAATCATGCCCAGACACCACAAATGGGACTGCCATATATATGCCGATCAGTTGGGGTGGTGGTTCCAGGGGGGTCAATGTAGGCGTTTTTTTTTAAATAGAAATGGTGTCGACAGAAACCCCTTGGGGCCGCCCGGGGCGGCCCTTTGCTCTTTCTCTGATATGTTTGAGAAGGTCAAACAAGCACTTTCCACGAGACTTGGAGTGGCGCCAGTCCGGTCCAGTGCGCTGGTAGCTACCCGCGACCCAATCGCAACCGCTACTGGGAATGGAATGGACCTGTTGTCATTTTGGTGTAGACGTTGTATAGACGTTTTAGTGAGTTTCCTATTTTTTCCCATGATCCTCTTGCCTCTTCTTCCTCCCGGAGGGTTTGGTTGAACGCTTTAGATGCGGTGCGGGTGGGTGATTGGAATCGCCCAGCTCAGCAGATCCTCGACGGACCATGCGACATCCGTCATCAACCCATGCGACTGGTCCCATGTCGAAACAAACATATCTGTAGCAGGGGCCCTTTAGAAACCATCAAACACTAGCCCCCAAAAACATGGTTTTTGATGGTTTTTGTATGTGATAACATATCCCTTTTTCATGGATTTGGTTCGGGCCCCTGGTAATTACACTCACTGAAATCATCAATGGTGACGTGGATGGCGTGGCCGCCAATCATGAAACCTTCATACCAAACAGCTGGTGCTTTCTTTCCACTGAAACCATGTTAGTCAAGAGTAGACTGATGGTAGAAGTTTTTCACTCCATGAAACCACTACACCCAGACACTCAGACACTCCTTGCATGGGATATTTATCTACATTGTGGGTGGTGCCAGAGGGGTCAGTGGGGTGGCATCTATGACAGACATGGAGTGTCTGGGACATCAGCTTCTCTTCCACCCCAACCCCCCTCCGTGGTCACTCTTTAGACTTCAGACACCACGCGTCTGCTGTCGCATCTATCGAGCTGCGCGCGCTCCGCGCGCTCCGCTCGCGGGAGGCCCAACATCCGCGACTCCGATGGCCGAGGGCATTCGCCGGAGTTCGTCGACGTGAACGACACCAGGCGCTGAGCGGATGGCGCGCGCGCGCGTAAGCGCGCGCCGAGAGTGGCTCATGTGTGGTGGGACGGTGCAATTGGGTTTATTTGGGTTTCAGGATCCGTTCTCAAAACTGTTGGTACCACTTATAATAGATGGGAGAGACCTGGTTTTGGAGTGTGCAATTCTTAGTAGTAAATTAGAATGATTGTTCAGTAACAGTAAAGTACTCACAAAGGCTTGAATGTTTGCAAGTTTCCATACGCTCCATGTATGCCATATATGCCTACATTAGGATGGTTTTGGGGGTGAATGTAGGCATAGATGGCATACATGGAGCGTTTGGGGTTGGAATTGTAGGGATCCCGAAGCCTGGTTTTTAACCAGCTCAGCGCCTTTGCCGAGATGACCAGGGTGACTGGGTCGGTCTCTTTGGTAAATGGCGAGGATCCCGCGTCCTTTGCTGCTCTCTCTCCTCACCTCAACAATTGCCAGCTCCAGATCGCAGTGAACAGCAAACGACAAATCCCAGTGACTTATATAGGCGCAATATTTCACCAGGCACGCCAGATCGCAGTAGGTACTCCTGGGCCCCAACAGCAAGCTCCGGCCCTCAGCAAGTGTAAGATCGGGCACATCCGGGCAGCAAGCGCAGATCGCACTACACTCTGCCGGACCTCAACTGACCACACTGATTGCTGAAAAAGAGAACCCTGTGCCACATAAACCAGCCTCAGCCTCCAGAAGGGTAGGGATGAAACCATCAACCCACACCACACATCCGACACACATCCGACACACACGACTTCCGCGCAACTGAATGGGGTTGGGAGATTTGTTCCAATGGATATATCCAACACCACTTCTGCCCCACGCCACCTTTGCCCCACACCACTTCATGGTTTTCCTATGTTTTCCTCCTCTCTTCTTGCCAGTGCGCGGGACGCGCAACGGGGCATTGCCTTCGGCAGCCGCGAAGATGCGCGGAGTTTGCCCTTCGTGGGGATTGGCTTTGCGCGAGGGATTTGAGGCCAGGATGGGAGGGTGGGATGGTAGAAGAAACGCGTGCTTTAGTTGAGACCGTCACGATCATGTAGACTCTTGATCCATAAAATCTCTTCATTTGGAGGGTCCTCTTCATAGGGCGGCTTTAATCAAACATGTTCATTATGTGGACATGTCCAATTGCTTGACAGGAAGGCCCAACTTTGAAGGGTTGGTTGATGCTCTTCCAACTCTGGTTATGTTTGAGGTTGTTTCCAAAGGACTGCCATTGCACAGGTGTGAACAGAAGTCATCTGGGTGCTTTCAATGGGTTATATGCATTCTTTACTTTGTGAAGATCGAGCTTTCAGGTCCTCATTTTGTTCGTTGAACGCACCCACCAATTATGTGTTCATTGGTGTTTGTGAAGGAGGTTTGAGGGTGGGGATCTGGATGCATTGTGGCGTCTTACCACCTCGCCCATGCCGCAGAACTAGGTCGCAGAAAGCAGGGCCACCATCAAAGGAACCATGGCCCAGACCTAGCACTAACCTCTGACAGGTCGGTTCATTTTGGTGGTCCAAAATCAGGAATCAATATACACCCTGCAAGGCTGGACCTTGAAAACCACTGCTTGGTAGAGGAAAACACTCTTCCAGGAGGCCAGGACGGACCTGGGTCTATGTGAGTTGGACCGGGAAGTATATGTGTTTCTGCGCAGCTGCGGTAGGATGGTAGGATGGTTCAAGGCGGTTGGATGGTCAACTGTGGTAGAACGTGTTTGGTTGGATGGTTGGTCTACTTGTCAACATGTTACTTGTAACTGATGGTGGGTTTACTGGTCGAACAAAATATCTGAAGGATTTTTGTCAACCATATCTGAAGGATTTACCATCATGTTTGAGAACATGGTTTATGGTTTACCATGTCATCGAATTTACTTGTTTGAGATGTGTTCCTATACTTCTTTCCTGCAATCGTCCTTTCGCTGACCTCTATCCCAGGTGCTGCTGCCGTCGCAGCGCGAATCTGCTGCTGCGCATCCCGCTGGGCGCTGGCCGACCAAAAAAGCGTCGGCGCGAGCAGCAGACCGGCGGGGATCCACGTGGAATGGGCACTGCTCGGGTCGATTGGGATTGAACGCTGCTCGTCTCCCATCAGACGAGGCAATATGCAAATAGTGAGGCAATATGAACTGCGTGACCCAAAGAGTCAGCAAAGAGATGACAGGATATACATGGATATTCCAAATGGGATAACCCTGGAATAACAATACTACATTCTATCACTATGTGTTTTTTGTTTGTTTTTACTTACAATCAACACTCATGCAACTGTCGGACATATCAACAAGCAGGGGTCTATGGGATCAACTCCGGACGGTCTGCCGAAGGGGTTGGTCGGTCGGGACAAGGGACGAGTCAGGTCTGGTCTGCTTCTCGACGTCAGGTCTGGGTCCGGTCAAGTCTGGGTCTATGGGATCGTATTCAACACGCGGGATCGTCTCATGGGTGGATTTGGATTCATCTTCAGTCTGAGACGATGGCCCTAGGGATCCAGTCGTAGCTCCTTAGAAGGTGTTGGGGTATGTTTGGGGAGGGTGCCAGGAGGGTGCAGTCGTATCTTCTGAGGTTCGGTAGGACTGGAACCCAAACGGGGCCGAAATTTCGGTCAGAAGCTTTCGACCACAAGGTATACAGGTTTAAAAATGGTTTTGGAATGGATGGCACTGGCATCCCAAGATGACTTTTATAGATGAGGGTCCAAAAAAAAACACCGACATTGGGGTTTGTGCCATCTACTCTGAAACCAACAGTTGAGATCCATTCAAGATGGCATTCAGCAAGCAGGAGTGATGTATTCCTAGAGTTGCAGTGATCGGCGAGTGCCCCAAAGCACAAACGTTCAAAGCATTCCATTCTTGCCACCCATCCAATGCAAGTGCGTAACTTCATGTGATTCACAGCTCGAATTTGATGAACATCTTAACTTATCTTCACTTGGTCCTACAAAATCTTCAGCTCTCTTCCATCTCTCCAACAGGCGGCAGCCCGTTGGTGCCACTCTCCCTCCGTTCCTTCGCAGGACCAATCCTTCCGCGTGCGCAAGGCGGCGGCCGCCGGCTTCGCCGAGGCCGGAAGACCCGGGCCGGCGGACGGACGGGAGACGGCAGGCGAACCACGTCAAAGTGTGGCCAAAGCATGCAAAATCCAGCAGAGGTGGGTCAGAAGCCTAGTTCGACTATCCTAGTTGGGTACTCCTGGTTTTCCGGGTCCTATGGTCCCGGTCACTGGCTACCTCTGTAGGAAGGCTGGGTGGGAAACCCCGAGTTTTTGACGAACTGTTTAGCACAGTGTGACAGTGTGTATAAAGCCCGGGCTCAGACTCCGGGCCCACCATTCTGATTTCCAGAGCAACCGAACTGTTACCGATGTTGCACATGTCCTATCCAGGTCCAGCATTTTGGTTTAATATAGTCTTTTGAAGTCTTGGGTTGAAATCGGGCGACCATCCCTCTTCCCTTTTTGGTTGAACATAGTGGAAGTCTTGCCTTCACCAGCTTTGCTTCTCCCGAACGAACTCACCGCGCCTGTCACATCGGACCGTCGGACCTGGCTCACCCGCTCGACCGGTCGGAGCCGCTCGACCGGTCGATCCGGTCGGAGCGATGCAGATCGCGCGGATGCTGAGCCTGAGCGACGTGCAGCGTCGCCTGGTGCCTGCGCTGGGGGCGCCCAGGGGGTGGGGGCGCGCGGCATGGTGCGCTGTGGTGCTCCAAGAGAGGTAGGTCAAGTGACCGTCAATAGGACCCGAAAAACCTGGGGTACCCAACTGGGATAGCCGAACTAGGGTTCTTCAACCTCTGTTGGTTGGGATCGCGGATTCTTTTTTGGGGAGTTGTAAAGTTAGATGTGGATCTTCCCGACTGTGACACATATTTTCATCAAAAAACAGACAAGTTTTAGGCAGGCATTTTGGCATAGGTAGGGTCAGATCCAGGTATGTGGATCATTTTGGATCTTTTTCCCCGTTTACCGGTGAGGGGTTCTTACTCCTTTGAAAGGGTTGCATGCCCGGGCCGCGTGATTTTGCATGTGTCTCCGGGCTTGCGTTCCTGCCACGCATGATGTTACAGTTGTCTCCCAGTACACTTGTCTCCCACTTATCTCCTTGTCTCCGGTACACTCTGGGTGCTCTGGGCCACATGATTTTACACTTGTCTCCTGCTTGTCTCCCTTTTCTTCTAGTCTCCAGTACACTCTGGGTGCTCTGGCATGATTTTACATTTGTCTCCCACTTATCTCCGTGTCTCCAGTACAATCTGGGTGCTCTGGCCGCATGGCTTTACACTTGTCTTCCACTTGTCTCCCTTCTGCCCCAGTACAATCTGGGTGCTTTGGGCCGCGTGATTTTATTCCTTTTTGCCTACTCTGGATACACTAGGCCGGATGTTTTTACACCTGTCTCGACTTGTCTGTCGCCCTTCTTGTTGCATTTGTCCCCACTTGTCGCCCACTTGCCTCGGCCTACTCTGGACGCGCTTGGCCGGATGTTTTTACACTTGTCTCCCTTCTTGTTACACTCGTCTCCACTCGCCTCAGACTACTCTGGATACACTTGGCCGGAGTTGTCTCTTGCTTGTCTCCAACTTAGACACTCTTGGCCAGAGGCTCTCAGCCGCATGCACTTGTCTCCACTTGTCTCTTTGCTTGTCTCCATGCTTGGACACTCTCGGCCACTTGTCTCCCTGGTGGTCTTTCTGCTTTTGCCTCCCTTCTTGTTGCGCTTGTCTCCACTTGTCCCCCTGCTTATCTCCCTTGTTGCTTCACTTGTCTCCCTGATTGTCAAACCTCACAAATTCATGGTGGGTTGAAAGCTTTTAAGCATGATCAAGCCACATGTCAGTACAACTCAGCATATTCAGTTCTGCTTTTGTCTGAACTTTCCGGTTCTGACCTTGAGCCACTTGAGCCAAGTGCTGAAACAAGCCCAGAAGGTCCGAGTTTGAGCCGTTGACAGTTCGTCTCTGTGGCTTACTTCATAAACACACAACCTGTTTAGTGTCTACAATTTCATCATGCGGGTTAAGATTTTGAACTTGGAGGCGCCTCTTCTTGCCTTGCCATTCCACAACGCCACAGGAGGAGGGTGCTGACCTCACGGTTTGAATGATATTCTGCGTCTGAAGCATAAGAGGGTATATCTTTGCTGTAGAGTTTTCCGTCGACGGGTCTGTCTTCACTCTGATCATCTTCGTTGAGGTTTTGAACCTGACGACACAGCACGACCAGCTCTTGCGTCTGCTTTCCACCCCGGATCAAGGACGGCGCACCCCGTGCTTGAATCTGCTATCCACCAGGGACCAATCAAGGACAGCGCGTCCAGTTTTCAGAACCAGAGATGGCTCCTGCATTCCGAAGCGTTACACTATGGGAATGCGACATGTTATGAGTTATGACTTATGACATGTTGTATCTGTATTAAAACTCAAGAAATTGGAAGTGGTATATTGGAAAATCAATGTGGTATATGGTTTTGTGTCTTTGAAATCCTACTGATTGTTTGCTTCTTAGTTCTTAAGAGTGGTGGCTTCGTGGTTATTTGTTCTTGTGGTGGTATGCTATTGGTTGACATTCTTGCACACATGGGTGCTCATGCCTTAAACTTGTTATGCATCAGTTTGTACAGATGATAGCATGCTGCATGGGCATACCACAAAGACTTACACACTGATGAGTAGGAACTGGCAACATAGGATCGTTATTACTTTTTCTTACAAGCCACTTGGCGCAGGATACATGGCAACCTCTTGATCATAGGTTCAACTTTTCAAGTACTGCCAACATCCTGCTGAAAGGCAAGTGTGCCTGAAACTTTTGCTGTCAAGTTGCAAGCCAAGAGCAGCTCCACTCAGATTTGGATTAGGCTTCTGGGCTTGACTGCCATTGCTGGCTCCTCTTGAATAGGGCAGCTGCTCAGCAGGAGCATAGCTAATTGTGTAGAATCGGGGCCCGGTTGTGTATATATATATATATATAGTAGAAGCACTGTGACCCTTACTTAGTAAGAATATTTACAGGAGTCTGCTCTGATAGTCTCAGTGTGACTCATCCCTTGGAAGATTCAGTTTTTAAAGGAGAGTCCTCTACTGCTCACCGGCAACTGGTTGACAAGGCCGTGCTGACGCGGAGGCGGAGGCGGCCACTCGTGACGCCGCTCGAGCGGACGCAGTGGTCAAGCCCGGTGGCCTCGGCCGCCCTGGCGGCCAACTGACAACACCGCTCCTTGGCCACCAGATAACCACCAACAAAGAGGCGGCAGAGGCCCTGGTGGAGGAAGCGTTCAAGGAGGGCAAAATCTACGCGTGCACCGGTGGGCCGGGCAAGGGCAAGACCGCCGTGGCGCTGGCCTGTCTACATCGGACCCTGGAACTTGAAGGTCGAGTGCTCTTTGCTTGTCCCACCAATCGTCAAGCGAGCCGCATGCGGGTGAAGCTGCCCCCAGAGGTCGCGGTTGACACCGATCACGCGGCCTTCGGTCTGGACGAAGAGCCCGGCGCCGTGGCCATCGCCATCGCTCAGTTCGATTTGACCCTCATGGATGAGATTTCACACCTGCAGGGCCAGCACTTCGACCAGATCTGCGAGCTTTAACGCAGGCCGACAACTTGCCGGCCATCTTGATGGCCGGGGATGAGATGCAGCTCAGCGGCTTTGGGGGCTACCGTGCTTGGCACAGCCGCATTTGGAAGCTCACAAATTCATGGTGGGCTGAAAGTTTTTCACATCTTTGAACCAAACAAAGCACGACGCAGTCAGTACAACTCAGCAAATTCAGTAGATTTGCATATGTTCTGTTTTCATCTGAATTGCCGAGTTGACCACCGCGAGCTGGCGGCGTACTTCATAAACGCGCAAACTGTTTGGGGTCTACGCTGGTATAATTCAGGTGTCTCCCAGTCTCTTTCGGCGGTTCTTCGATGTGTGGGGATATAGTGATATCTAGGTGAAAATCTCTACATCACCCGAAGAGGTGAGAACATGCGAACAAATGGACGCACTTTCGCTGTGGGGGAGTTGTTTTTTCACTCTCCAAACTGCTTTGCTTTGGGGGGGTTCTCAATTGTTGCATGGAAACGAGCCTGGGCCAAAAAGAGTTCCGGTCCTTGTCAAAGGGTTGAGGCTGAGGCTGCTGCTAGCCTAGCAGCTGCTAGCAGTTCGTTCAGCAACCAAATGACGACCTCCACCCTGACCGACTTCAGCTGAAACATCTTGAGACTTGGGAGAAACGAAGTGATCCTTGTTTTTCCCGGAAAAACTGAAGGAGTCGGCAACAGCAAGTGCAACAAGTTTATGACCTGAAATCGAGCAAAAACAGGCATCAATTGTCAGGACCACCCTACATAGGGCTTTGTGGTGGGGACTGTTGTTTTTGTTTTTTATATCGTGTTCCAGATGAAATCGACACAACAAGAAGAGCAGCACTTAAGCGAAGAACAACATCGGAGCAGAAACGTCCAACCACCGAGGTTCGAGAAGTTAACGAAGGATCCGCATTGGGGTGTGAAGAAGGCGCCCGGGATGAAACCAGCGAGTTCACTTTCTTGTGAACGAAGATCGTTTCTGCTCGTCGGACCTCTTTTCTTGAACACGGACGATTCTAATGATTCTTGAAGCATAGCTGGATCACAGACAAAATGTTTAACACAAATCCAAGAACAAACAAACACATGTTCTTGTTTTTTGAACATTTGTAAGAAGTCGACCTAACGCCTTACAGCCAGATTTGATTAGATCCAGGGTTTAGCCAGTTCGCCAAGTAGTGATATCGGCTTGCTTGCCGAGTGAAGCTGAAACCAAGAAATTACTGGAGATCATCCATGATCATCCCATTGTTTGTTTTTAACGTATGTATTTCATCAACAAGCTGGTTGCGCATGTATGTGGAAGTTAGATCTTCACCTGCACCCGGCCATTTTGGTCGTTTTTTTTCTTGGCCCCTGGTCGTCTCATTCTCCACGCCTTGGTTTTTTGCCCGGGTGTGAGGGTTGTGATTGATTGATAGCCATAGGGTGTTTGTGGAAAACGTGGGTGTTGGAGGACTGGTTGAAATGTGATTCACAGCCGAGTACTCCGCCCGACTCACCTCCAATTTGTACATGTTTATCCCGTTCTGTTTGGCACAGGAAGATGCTGTGGGAGGGATTCTTGTGGGTGGCGATACTTGGGCAGCACGACCCAGCGCCAAGCACGAGAACACTAGAGTTCAAGTTTTGAGTTCAGTGTCAACTTAGCTCTTGCACGAGAGTTGTGGAAGGAGATCCAGGAATCCTCTGTTGCAAGTCCTTTGAAGTGTGTCATGTGGCTTGGATCAAAAGGGGAGCAAATACAAAAGAGAAGATAGCTTCAGTTCTGAGTTTTCGTTGATCAAGCCGGCATGCTGAGGACGGCTAGCTGCTAAAGAAGCGCTAAATCGTTCATAGCCAGGTATGGATCCATAGCTACTTGATACTTTTGGGAGGCTGAGCCATACCGAGCCATACCAGGCCTTTCCTTTTCTTAGACGATGGGTTGGACCAAACCCCGCAGGATGTTTGGCAGTGGGCCAATGGGCCAATGGGTAATGTTGTTTTTTGAGGGAGGGGATTGGTTCAAATCAACTCACTCACCCAAACGACAAGGCCATTGTTCTTACCCAAACACTCCATGGGCATGGACTATTGGTCTACATTGACTATCATGGACTCCTTTTCAACTACCCCATTATAGCTGAATAACGACCATCCATGGAGTGCAAAACCATAGTAATTGAATCCCAGAGACGACCTGTTTGGTACTGGCATCACAGTGATACATGTAGGGTCTGTATCCAAACTCACCTGTAACAGTAAACAATGATTTACTATGTTTTTTCACTGTCGGCCTGCAACCAGGCCCCATCCACTGGACCCAGGTCATCGGACCCAAAGTTGTTGGACATGTTTGACATGTTTGGGTCAAGGATGATCTGGAGTGTTTTGGCGTTCCAGGCCCAATCACGCCGTCCCCACCGTCACGCTCCGTCACCGTCCCGTTTCTCCCGGCGCCAGGCCACCGCGGAGAATCTGGTGCAGTCCGGCGCCGCAGTGGTCGGTCCGGAAGGGTCGGTCGAGTCAGACCTCCCAATGACTGTGAAACGACGGACAACGACCTGGTCGTCAGTCTCAGAGTCTACTCTATTGCAAAAGATACTTGTTTCATCTTGTTTCTATAGAGGAACATGGTCATCTAAGGGTCCCACCTTGGGGCCTCAAGGTGGGGCCCGGCCTGCGCCCCGGCGCCCCCTTTGGGGCCATGCCATCCACTGACGTCACGTGCCATCTAAGGGGCCAGGGACTGGCCCTGCAGGGTGTGAAAAAGCCTAACAAGGCCTAACAAAGCCTGGGAGTGTTACATTGGATATAGGACTTGCCCCTGTTCTCAAAGTATATCATTGTACCAGTACCCGACTTTAGAGTTTGCCTACAGCAGTGCACCAGCGAATAAACACACCCATTTGTAGGTTTTCTGATTGTGTACTTAGACCCAACGTAGTTGTTCAAAACCCCACTGCTGTCAGGTAAACTTGGGCCTTGTTTGTGGAAATAATTCCGGTCACAAGTGGTATGACTCATGAGTGTGACCTCCAACCCTACCAGAATTGGATTCCACTTCCCTAGCATAGCATGTCGGCACGACCGACTGCGCAATGGAGCCCGTTTGGGTGAACCAGGCGCGATGTTTGGGTGATCTGACCGGTCTTCTGTGTGGGCGGATTGAGATTGTGGTATGGCAAAGCACCAGCAGACAAGCTGAATCACATCAAGCTCCAGATAGCGCCTTGACACAGAGGAGGTCCTTTTCCATACCAGTCCAGCGGCATGATCATGATGTGCTAAAACACAGTTGTCGTTGTCGTTATTCCAGAGATGTTCTCCCTGGCAGTTCTTGTAGCCTTGTACAGTTCTTCTGTTTCATTTTCCCTAGGGCTCCAGTGACTGGACCCTCTAAACCCACCTCTAAGAAGGTACTTGCCCTAGGGTTTATGATGTGGTCTGGAAGGTCCAAACGTCTCCGGAGACCTTCCAGTCCTAGTCCCTCGTCCACCCCAGACACGACCTGCGCATGGGACTGCCAGCCAGGACTGCCGCCCCACACAGACCCCTAGCACCAACCACCCCACCCCTGGCCGCAGTCCTGGCTGGCAATCCTATGCGTCGGTCGTGGTGTCATGGGGTCGATCACGGAAAGCCGCAGATCCTCCCCGTGCGATCCGAGGTTTGCGATGACCATGCCGGCCTCCCACCGACGGGCGCCCATGCCCAACGCACGCGCGCGCGCGACGTGGGTGGGTGGGGGGTGCAGTTGAAGGTGGATGTGTTTTTTTGTTGGCTGGCTGGCTATGCTTGGTTTTATGCTTATGTGGTCATGCTTATGTTTCCCTGTGGAATCCCCATGGCATGGGGCAATATTTTAGGTTATTGTCAACGTATTTTCTAGTTCCTGGAATCCACAAATATCACAGAGTGCAGGTGCAGGTGGCCAATGACAATGATTAATTGTGTCCTCCAGAATTTTCAGAACTCTCGTTGCTGCAATTCAACATGATTTGCCAGCCGGAGATATATTTTCCCGGGAGGTCCAGTTCGACTATCTTTGGCACCACTGCAGTTGTTCAGGCGGATCATGAGTCAGACCAGTTTAAAGGACTCCCAGGTGGTTCCCTGGTGTTTATTCATAGGCCTATGTACACTCACATGGAAGTGGATGGCATAGGCATATAAACCGCTCTACAGACACAGTGGAGTGAACCTGAACTCCACTTCCATTGATTTTTCTGAGTGGGAGAGTAGTTGACTTGGTTCGCTTGGTTGATGGATCGAGCATGGCACGATGTTCGGCTACCCTATTGGTCATCTACAGGAATTCTCATGTTGACAGGTTCCAGTGTGAGGGGCTGTTCCTGCCGGTTCCTGCTATTCCAGGGTGGTTCCTTATCATTGGATTCCGCCCTAAGCTTTTCCCTAGCCTTCCAAGACCAAACAAAAAGCTTGACCCGGCTTAGTGGTCTAACATTCGCCAAAAATGATGAGACCACCAGAAATGACCTGAAATCAATTGAGAAAGAACACCGTGAAATCAATGATGAGACCCATTGCTTTGCCCAACAAAACCCTACAATCAATGGAGACGGTTTGCGAATACCTCCTTTCACCTCCTCCTTTGTCGCGTGGCGTCCTCCGATGCGACCCAGCGGTGGGACCATGTAGACCCGCCAGTTTTTTTTTTTTCAGTGAACATCTACAGGAAAGCCATATATAGGAACTTGGGGGGGGGGGGAAATCACGGTTTTTTGTGGCAGGTCTTCCCTTGGACACCAATTTCATCGCAAGTTCCCAAGGAGTCTTTCGAGCAGATGGTGAACAGCCTCCTGAACGACACTTCCAGGCTGTTTTTTTTTCGTTCACCTGGAGGGTTGCTTCGGGTGACCCGATGGCTCCGAGGGAGTGCAGGGCACCAAGAGAAGTTTCAGAAGTCTTTTTTAGACTATTGGAATTCCAGTCCAATCTTTCAAATGAATCACGGAACATCTTCATGACTATGTCATGACTATGTCCATCTCTGCACTTGGTTTT